ATCATTCCCTTAAAATTTATTTAAAACGTTTGGTTTAATTTAATTTTTTATTAGGGGCTTGTTAATTTCCATTTACGCCCTCTTCTCTCTCTCTCCCTCCCTCTATTTAAATATACGTATCTCTTTCTCTCCTTCCCCATGCGAATAAAAATAATATAAAAAAGCGTTGCATATGCATGGGCGCAGCGAATAATTTTGTATATTTTGTTGTCTTCCCCATTTGAGTGCAATTTCGCTGCGCTTGTGTTGCATAAATATGAATGCACGCACATATATGTATATGTGTATATTTTTTTAATATGCTCGCAAATGACAAAATGAAATAAAAGATAAATACTCGATGCGAACGCAAAAATCACACACAAAATACACACGCATACACTGAGAGAAAAACAACAACAATGCGCATTTTAAAAACAAATATAAATAATGCATAAATACGATGACGAACAGCGAAGCGAGTCATAAGACACGACCCATTTAAGTTAAATGCTCGCACGGGACCAGTCGTTGTGGCTGCTGCTGATATACCCTGTATTTCGACCACAGTGGGGAGTATAGAATAAACAGATGCTGTGACTAGAGAATTTCATGTAAAAAATGGATGAACATGATTAGTTGGGGAAAGAAAAACTAACATGAATTGAAATTTATGCATGGAAATAATTAAATAATATTAACAACAACAACAAAAATAGAAACCAAAAAAATAAATACATAAATAAAAACACAGCTAAGACGAATATATATTATATATGGTAGAGCTCAAATTATATTTTTTACTGTTCAACTTCAAACGCCATATAAAATTAATTGAAATTAAAAATGTGTCAAAAAAATTGCAAAATACAAAAACCGACTATTAATGATACTCACTGTATAAATACATTATACGTATGCATATATTATCATTTAATTTTTATTTTCTCTCTCGATCAATGTTTTTCAATTCTATTTCAGTTCATGTTACAGTCTGAATAAAAAGTTTTCAAATTTCTTTTCTTTTCAAATTCTCAACTTTAAAGGAATTGAGCTTTGCAGGGTAACTGCCAGTCGATTCGCTTTGATTCGTTTTTTAAGCTTTGGCGCGTTGTCATGAAATATTCATGCCAGATATTTACATGAGAGGCATTAATTTTGCAATTTCATTGGCGCTTGTTATTATTATTATCATTTTTTATGCACACTTCACCTTCTTCTGCCTCTGTTTTTTGTCTCATAGTCGTAGCGCATAGCGCTAAACGGCGCAAAATTGATATATGACACTCCTTTGCCTAAAGCCCATAAATATGCAACAAATGACATGGAATTTCATATGGCAGTTGGGAAACATTTTACGGGTGTGACGAATGACATACGAATATATGAAATATAGAGCCAGAGAGCGCGAGAAATATATTCTTATATATCCTTATCTACATCTATATCCATATTCTTTTTTTAACATAGATAATCTCGATTACAAAAATTTATAGATTGATCTATAGATTGTTATTAATTTAATATAATCATAATTTTGTCATCTTCGATTTTATAAATATATCGAAAAGCTCATTACATTAGACATCTGCGCCATTTAGTTATCTATTTTATATAGATATTCATATTGTAATTGCAGTGATTTAATATCTCGCATCTATAATGAAATAATGCTGCAAAATAAATGAGAATCAATATTTTGTTGGCATTGTTAAGCCCCGATTCACATTTTGCATGCACAAATAAATTAGTCAAATATTGTTATGATTTACGCTGATTTGTAGACAGCGTCCATACCAAAATTGAAACATACATATTTATAATATAGGTATACACAATGGATAAAGTAAAATAAATCAAATTTTGGTTGTTTTCCATTTGGAATGATTTCGGGGTTTTTGCCTGAACAATTGAAATTAGTTCAAAATATTCGAATAATAATTAGTGACGCGACCCGTACACATCTTGATTATGGATTACTATGAGGATATCCTTTTGATATCCTTTTTATAAGCGAAATCAATTAAGGGCTTGGGCAAATCGAGCTCAGCTCGTTGATGGATATTTTATGGATACATGTGACATTACTGACCAGCCGCATTCTGACTCGAATGCCTGTCGGGATGAAGGGGTCGCCATTATAGGCTGCCATATTTGATGCTGCTTTGTTTCCGCTTCCGCTGTGCACCGCATGACGCAATATGAGTGCACAAAGCGATGCGCTTTTCTTGTTGTTGTTGTTGTTGTTGTTGTTATGATGGCTGTTTTTATAATATCTCAATTGAATTGGCATGACAATTTCAATCAATACACAGCACGAAATTACACAGAGTTATTAATTTTTGACAGCACTCGTTAATCCCACAACAAAGATGTGAATTTTCATATGAAATAACCGAAATATGCCGCAACACCGCAAAGAGCAAAGATTGAAACTACCAACGCTTCGCTCTGAGCAGCCCAGTCGCCCAGCGTGTATATCGAATTGAGCATATGTGAATAATTACATACATTTATACGAGTTAAAGACAATTATGTTGATTCACTTGAGTAGTTACCTGAGCGCACCTCTTTGAGCTCTATGCCTACGCCTATCCGTTACATATGTGTGCTTTCGAGTGGAACAATAGATGAGCATTATGCTCACAATGAATGAACGAAAGGTCGGAGGGTAAAATAAAATAAGCATAATTATATGTAATGTACATTAATAACAATCGCAAGTTGTCTCATCTTCGCTCGTTGTCATATTTAAGTTTGAAAGCTGGCGCCATCTAGAGCCAACGATAGCAAGATTCAATTGTAATTAGGCACGCGAGCGCCATCTGTGTTTGCTGGCTAAAATAAGAACTGTTACATATGTATTTGAATGACTTTAGTGGTACTTGTATATGTGTATTAACGAAGCACTCAAACCTTACATATATACAACTAGTCAGCAAATCTCCTGTTAAGACGTTGATCTGGTAAATTTTAGGTACACCAACTAGCAGTCGTTAAATTATAAAATCACAAATAGTAGTTCTCAGAGTAAGTTTAACATATTTGCTCCACATGTTAACTAACAGCTGAGTTCGGCCGGCACTGTTAGCTTAAATCGCTCATTTCTAGCTGCACTATCAGCTGTTTTGTTGTTTGGTTATTATTATTTTTTTGTATTGTGACTGATAAGAAGCGACGCAATTAGATTGTGCCACTAAATGCAAAATATCGCTCAAAGATGAGCGGCAACATACACGGCATCAGTTGGTTTCCCAACTTCCCCGACAAGTTCGTCTCCTGGGGCCAGGAAATCAATTTGTACGAAGTGCGCAGCAAAGAGGACTCAACCCAGAAAAGTCGCTTGCCCTACATTCCGGTCAACTTTCTGTCCAACGAGACGCGCTATCAGTACGCTCGCTGCGTGGCCACCTCCTATCACAGTGACCAGCCGATCATTGCCGTCGGCCTGGCCGATGGCAAAATCGGCATCTGCAATTTCCGCGACACCTACGACAGCAGCTGGGAGTACAGTACGACGATATGGCATTGACGGCTCCGCTAAAGCATTTTCCAAATTGAGTTTCTTTCTTGTAATCTTTTTGCAGCACCCCGACAGCAGCGCATGTGCACGTGCCTTGCCTGGAACGAGCTGGATGCAAATATATTGGCCATTGGCCACGATCGACATCGCTCCGATTCTTGCATCACTATTTGGGACATTGAACGGGGCGTGCCCAAGGAAACAGCGAATTTCTTTGGCCTCGCCGAGTCGGCAAATTCTTTATGCTGGGACCACAATCATCGTATGCTCATCGCTGGAATGAGCCAGAAACTGATCAAGCTCTTCGATCTGCGGCGTAATTTAAACCAATTGATATGCTTGATGCCTATTTAATATTTGTTCTTCCTCTACTATGTCTCATTTTAGAGAGCAACACCACCTGCCAGTCCATACAGACGAAGACAGTGCAAGGCCTGTCCGTGGCGCCCAATGGCAACTATCTGTGCAGCTATGTGGACTCCGTGATCATGCTGTGGGATCTGCGCGCCATCGAGCGACCCTTGCGACAGATTCAATCGTCCAGGAATCACATGCAGATCAGCTGGTGCCCCACCCGCACGTCGCTGCTGTCGTCGCTGCAGCGCGATTCGCCGTACATCACGCTCTACGACATTCGCAGCGTGGACAACGAGTCCTGCCGCGAGGTCTACCATGTGAAGCGCCAGATCAGCCCCCTGCCGGCCAAGTATCAGCACAGCGGCAAGTTTGCCACAGTCAACTGGCTGTCCTGGCATCCGCGGGACTTCGAACGAGCTCTGCTGCTGGCGGATGCCCTTAATATATTGGAGTTCCGGCTGCCCGCCAGCTTGCATACGGCATTCAGTAATCGGAGCAAGCTGCCGCTGCTCATGCAGCGTCCTCTCTATGCTCCAGCGCCCGTTGGTTCGTCCACAAATAATCAGGAGCCGACGCAGGCGCCGAGCAGCTGCAGCACGAACAGTGCCAGCAGCTCGCTGAACGAATACAACGTCGGCTCCTCCCTGAGCTTCGATTTTCTGGAGCGCGAGCTCTTCGAAGAGGATCTGTTGGAGGAGACGCGACAGCGAGCGATGCAGGACTACGGCATTAAGCCGGACAACACGCGACTCGCTGAACTTCATCTGAGTCCGTATCTGCGCAACGTTTGGGCCACCCTCAACAATATGCACAGCGAGGAGCGCCTGACGGGCCTGAAGGCCACGCTCGGCATCAACCTGGGCCACACCTCGGAGGCGCTGATGGCCAGCTCGCGCATTGAATCCCAGTTGCTGCAGTGGCCCGACGGCATCAACAGCTCCAACAAACTGGTTACCTATAGGTAAGCGCGAAAGAACCGCAGCTAACTCTAGGCTCATTTCATCATCCTTTAATCTTCGTTGCAGGAGCGAGCAGCGAGACAAAGCTCTGCAGCTATGCGGCTGGTCATTTGAGCACGAGCTGGACCGCTTCATCGACGAGCTGTACGCGAACAAGGAGTTCAGTCGGGCGGCCATGATCTGTGTTTTCCACTTGAAGGTGCTGGCCGCTTGCAATATATTGTCCCGGGCGGCGGACAAGCAGCGCGATCCCAGCATGTATCGGATCACGGCGATTGCGTTGTCCAGCTTCAATGCGGATCGCTGCAGTTCGACGTGGCGCAACCAGCGCTCCAGCGCGAACATGCAAATTCAGGATCCTCACTTGAGGGCCATCTTCTCATTCCTCACCCTGGAGGGGGACAATTTCGATGCGGTGCTCCGGGAGGAGGGTATCTCGCTGGCAGATCGCGTGGCCTTCGCCTGCAAATATCTATCGGAAACGAAGCTCACAGAGTACATCAAGCAGAGAATTCAGCGCTGCATCGAATGTGGAGACCTGAATGGCTTGCTACTGACCGGCGAGTCCTTGGATGGCATCAATATACTGCAGGCCTACATGGATGCCAGCTTTGATGTGCAAACGGTCGCCCTGGTGGCCATCAATTTCTTCCGTAACGAGCATTTCGCAGACAATCGAATCCAGTACTGGGTGGCCAGCTACTTGGACTACCTGAACAGTTGGGGCCTGTGGGAGAAGCGAGCGGAGCTGGATATTAAAATAGAGAATATACGCACCTCGACGCGAAGCGCTCGCACCGTCTACCTGTCGTGCAATTTCTGTGGCAAATCCGTGTCGAATGCGCTGCTAGATGAGCCTCGACCCCGCAGCACCAGCACCAGCACAAATCGCTTATCCTCGTGTCCCAGCTGCCGGAAGCCACTGCCGCGCTGCTCGCTCTGCCTGATGCACATGGGCACCATGATAAACACGACCGCCAGCGAGAAAACGTCAACGGAGCTGCAGGGTGGCTGGCAAATGAAGCCGTTCTCCAAGTGGTTCTCCTGGTGTCAGACGTGTCGTCACGGCGGCCACACCGAGCACATTGTGCAATGGTTTAAGTAAGTCCATTCTTACTATTTAAATTGTATTGCGTAATCCGTCTCATACCTAATTGCAGACAGAATTCCGAGTGTCCGGTGTCGTCCTGCAACTGTCGCTGCTTTGACATGGATGGCACCAAACCAAACGCTTTGCGTGAGATTTCCTAGCTGCTCTACACAGACTTGCAACAATAATTACATAAAATACGCCCACGCCATATGGTTCGCCTTAAACTGATAAGTGTTCATTGTACTTAGACAACGGCACATGTGCCCGTAGCTTAAGTTTATTATGACCTACAGCTTATAGCTGCTCAATTGCATTTTTTATCTACATACATACATATATCAAAATAGCGCACACATAGATGGCGAAATGATGCCGCCAAAGCAGTTAAATTGATTCAAATTCAAAATTTTTCACATATTTACAGCACTGGCATCGAAACTAACTTTATCGATTGTCGATAGACATTTCTGTTGTATTTGTTGTTTTCTTTATTGTACATCTAATTTTCAATCTATGCTTTTACTTTTAATATGCAATACTGCAAATTTTTAAAAATCTTGTACTGGATATTGGTTATTAAATAGAGAAATTCAATATCGATTCTAAAACAATATATGATTTATGTTTGCCTGATAAATGAACTAAATCTATGAACGATAATCTCTCGGCTCATTCGGTTCAATAGTTTATTCATTTGAGTCAATGTTAAATTTTGATACAATTCTATTCTACACGTTTTTGTACGCGTATCACACTTTGTGTAAATTTATATATATTTTTATATTCTTTTAACTATAGACGTTGTTCGTTCAATTAAATACAGTTACCATACATATCTATCAGTTCTACCAAATTAATTGCTCAGCAGTTCGTGTACCCCGAAGCGGCGAAAGAGCGAAAGAAATCGCAAGTGTGTGTGCAGACCTACGAATTTCGGAAGCAGGGGCAGACTGAGATTACAATCAACGCACGCTTTGTTACGCATTCCCTTGCACCGCTTTTATTGTTGACCGTCGATTGTGGTGTCTGTTTATGTGCTAGAGTGGGCCGGGAGATAGGCCAATTCACGTTTTGCTGGTTTCGGTCGGAGTTGAAAATCGTGAGTGCAGCTTGCAAATTAAAAATGCTAATAAACGCTGAGAAAAGCTCGTAAATAGATGTTGCCAAAAATACTCCTAAGCGACTAAGAATAATAATAGACCACAAAAATCATTTGATGTGTTCCCAAAATACAAAATACCTTGTCTGAATATGACGTCGATATTTTGTTGTTGCTTATATTGTTTTTTTAGTCCCAACAATGCGAACTGCGAAAGTTGAAACATTGCCAAATAATTTCAACCTGCTATCAGCGCGTGACCCTCAAAATATGGAAATTTTATTTTTAAAGACTTGACTTTTGTTAAATAACCCTTTCTAAACAGCTAGATCGTATATATGGCTTTGAGACGCATCCTTTAATTGTAGACAAAACAGAAACACTCAACCAACGGCTTATTATGTCATTTAACTAAATTTAGATTTGAGCGCACAACGCTGAAATACTTTGCATTTGAAGCTCTCTGGCTTAAGGCGCTCTCCCGCTCTCAATATTTTAATTATTTCTCTTTTGTCATGTCATAACTGTTTACACCTCAATCTTTGTTTCCCTATGCCATTCATGTTTATGTTGTTCCAGTTGTTGTTGCTCATTAAGTGAGCCGGCGAAATGCACAATGAAAACAACAGAAAGCAGCGAATGTGATTGAGAGAGAGAGAGAGAGAGAGAGAGCAACACAAACAGCTGACGCCATTGAGCAAAACGGCGTCGGTTGAGGGAAAATTCAAATTATTGCAACAGTTATTTATATTGAACAACGCGAGGCAGACAAGCGAGCGCTCGTCGCTCTGTCGAGTTTTTATTGTTGTATGCCTCATTATTAAAAATAAACGAAACGATTCCGAACGATACCGAACCTATCCAATAAAACGCTTGATTGAACTGAAGCGTTCCTTTGCATATGAGTGCAATACCGAAGCAAAGCTTAATGAAAACAAACGACTAAACTAAAATCAACACCTAAAACTCAATATCAAGGTCAGCAGCTTCAAGAAAAATCTATAAGGCACACTTTCAGCTGGTATCTATATCAGCATATAAATATGTATTTTCATATTCTAATTGCATTTTTATTTATGCCTCTCGAATAGAGATAGAGCGCGGAAAAGTTCTGCTTGCTCAGCATAATTTGCAGTTTTAGCTGCTCAACCAGTATTTATTTGATAAAGTGCATGAACTTGTTCGCCGAAGGACAAGTGCAAAGCGCTCCGAGCGAACTTCGCTTTGAAAGCTCTCAGTTCTCTTCCGTGTGAGTTACGTGATCCATTCAGAGTGCGCATAGAATTTGACGAGTCTAATTCTCACAATGTTGTCCCATAAACTATTCAAGCAGTAGCTATCAAAATCGTTTGTATATTTGTCACAGATGCTGTTCAAACATTGGGATTCACTGTAATTGCGAATGCAGTGATATTCTGTGATAGTTCTGTGAGTATGTATTGCGATTTTGTAGCGCAGTGTAAACGTAAACGTCACATGGCTATTTGTTTTGGTGCTGTCATTTGTGTATCTACCTGCCAAAGAAAAAAACTAAAAATCTTTGAAACATTTATATTCTTTTTGCACTTTTTCATTAACATCTTGCTGAATTATTAGTGATAAGAATATTATATAACAGCCAATGGAGGATAGAAGATGACGCGCTTCATTGAGCAAACCCATGCTTACGTTTGAGCTGTGGGGAGAAACTCATTGTCGCTGTTGATTTTTTACTTCTACTTTTTTTATTGATTCTTTGACCCGCAAATAGAGCCTAGTCAATCACGCAACATACCGTTAGCTTATAATGTGGACCTTGAAAAGAGCTTTAGATTTGATCTCTACTTACAGTTTGACTCTAAGCTGTCATCTATGCTGCAGCGCCGTTCGTAAGGTGCGAGACGACGGAAAGAAAGAGTGAAAGATCCTCCACACCATCATCCACACAGCAAACACACTCAATAAGACAGAATGTTGCGCAATACGCCTTTCGCCGGCACGCCCACTTACAAATTACTGCTAGGCTTTGGCCTCTGCTCGCTGGGCAGTGCCATGCTCTACGCCTACTTCAAGTCCCGCAATGACGACAAGGATGAAACGGGCACGAAGGAGCGAACAGAAGGTGGACCAGAACAAATGCAGCAACAGAAACAACAGCAAAAGGAAATCTGTCTCAAAATCGTTGTGGACAATGACCACGTACCGTTGATAATTGGACGCGGCGGCGCCAACATTAAACTAATTGAAGAAAAGACCGGGGCAAAGATAAGATTACGGTAAATATTTAACACAAGTCTTAGGCGGAGAAAGAGAAGAGAACGAGCTCTCTCTCTCTCTTTCTTTGTTTGTTATCGATATCAATATAAAATAATATTGAACATTGTTATTCCCAGCGATAAGGACAATTCCCACAAGTTCTGCGACATAAACGGCTTGCCCGATGCGGTTAAGGCGGCTCGTGTTATGCTCATCAAGGAGATTGAGCGTGCACCCATTGTCAAGATGGAGCTGCTGGTACCACAACGGTTGGCCAACAGGATCAGTGGACGCGGAGGTGAGATAATACAGGAAATTAGCCGAGCATCATTGGCTAAGCTCAGCATCGATCTAAATGGACGCAATGGCAAGGCCAAGATCAGCATTGTTGGCAACCAGAAGCAGGTGAACATTGCCCGCAAGCTGCTGGACGACCAGATCGAGGAGGACGAGCAGCTGCGACTGGCTGTCGATGAGGTGGAACAGCATCGCGAACCAAGACGTTCGCCCAGCTACAGTCTCACCTCTAGCGTGTACTCTTCACAGACATCCCTCAGCTCCCAGCCGCCGCGCGACAAGCTAATGGCCTCTCGTGGAGATGAGAAGCCCATGGAAGTGTACGTCTCGGCAGTTGCATCGCCCACAAAGTTCTGGGTGCAGCTGGTGGGCCCGCAGTCCAAGAAGCTGGACGACATGGTCAAGGAGATGACCGCCTACTACAGCAATGCCGAGAATCGCGCCAAGCACCAACTGACCGCACCCTACATTGGCCAGATCGTGGCCGCCGTCTTTAAGTTCGATGAGAAATGGTATCGCGCCGAGATCGTGGACATTATGCCCAATCAGTATAATCCCAATGAGCAAGTCATCGATCTGTACTTCGTGGACTATGGCGACAGTGAATATATCTCTCCAGCAGACATTTGCGAACTACGCACCGATTTCCTAACCCTAAGGTTGGTATATCAATTACTATATTTATGTATTAGTACTAGTAATGACTGCTCAAATGCTTTCAGGTTCCAGGCAGTTGAGTGCTTCTTGGCCAACGTGAAATCAACTATTCCAGATGAACCTAACACCTGGCAGAAGGCATCTATATCCAAGTTCGAGGAATTCACAGAGGGTAAATATCATTTCCTTTTCGCATCGAAACGCAAATTTGTATAAGTGCTAAAATTTGAACAAACAGTTGCTCATTGGCGCAAGCTGATCGCACGGGTGGTCACTTACAAGGAGCGTCCGAAGGTGACGAGCGCCGCCAATGCGTCCGCACGAGATGGTACACCGCTGCCCGGCGTGGAACTGGTCGACCCCACCGAGGGCGCTGAGATGAACATTGGCGATATGTTGATAATGCAGGGGTATGCCCTGCCACTGGATGATTCATATCCGGTGAGATCACGCTCCACGTCGCCATCGACTCAAAGTGATTCCACCATCGAGGAGCTGTGCGCCACAAATACGCCCCGAACGCCGCTCACCCCAATGTCGCCCATGTCACTGTCAATCACAAACGATGTGGACAGTGTAGAGGATGCTCACTTTGCCAATCAGCTGCAGCACTTGGGGCAGAAGCTGAACGGCAATGACTTGACCCATATCAATCCAGTTCAACTGACCACAGACGACATAAAAAACAGGAATGGAGAAGCCATCAAGAGCACACACAGCGATGTGGCTCGCTAATTCAGATTGGCACTTCTTAATTCTCAAAGTTAGTCTAAGCTAAGCTCTCGCCTTATGATAATTGTGGGTAGTCATTGTAAAAAGGCAGCTCACTACTTGATATGTATATAAACTTAAAGAAGCTTAAAAGAAAAGGACAAACAGAAAACAATACAAAACAATTGTTTAGACTATAAGTAATTAAGGTATTGAAACAATTTCTTTAATTTATCATACGAAATTTGACTGTTTATTGTGCTATATGAACAAAATGAACCAGCATAATTCTTTATTTTTTGTTTATTTAATAGAAATGCCATGTTACTTAGGCTGAAATCAGATGTACCAGATGTAAGTGGCTAAATAATTTTGTAATTTACATAAATTGTACTGGATTATTGCATTATGCCAGATATCAGAGGCACATCAGAGCCCAGCTTTAGCGTTAAAAGCTCAAAATACAATTCAAAAAAACACTGTTGTACTTAATACTATTGCAGTCTCTTTAATGTGCTCAGAGAATAGACTATTCAGATGAGTATATCGTTGGTAGTGTTAATAGCTATAGGTGGCAAGTAAATAGCTCGGATCTGGCTGCGCAGGCGTGCGATTTCCATGTCGTCGCGCTCCATTTCTCGTATGAGCTGCGAGAACTGGACGAGGCCCTCACGATTGCCGGGAAAGCCGTGCACCTTGATTACCTCCAGCTGCAGCTGCATGACCAGCGGGAAGACATGCTGCATCATTAGAATCATTTCTTTGCCCGCTGACGCCTTTGCTTCGGATAGTTTTTTTGAGTTTTCAGGCTGATTCACTGTGCGTATTATATCCATTAGTATTTGCTTTGCGCTGTCATTATTGAAACTGGCCAGGTAGGACATTTCTAACTTATTATATATATTTATCGTCTTTTATGTTTAAACAAACAGTACAAAACAAAATATCTCTATATTCCTTCACACCCACTGCACATACACACGCTTACCTTGCTCTTTGACACTCACATCGAACTGGCCATTCACAATGTGACGCAATTGTAGTGCTGTTAAGTGCCTAAAGCCAGAGAACAGCTGTTCTATGGTTCACACAGCGAGTTAAATACATTTCGAGCAGAAAAACTGTATACGTTGACCTAAAAACATTTTTTCATACATAAATATAATATTTGTTTTTGATTCAGACGTGCAGCATCAATATTAGTGCAAGAAGTATTACAACCGTGGCGTATGATTCAGTTCATCGTGCGCGGCATTGCTCAACACTAGACGAAAAATGTCACGTCGGAGAAACAGAAAAGACACAAAAAATATATTATAAAGCTCATTATGTGCAAGTATTTAAATAGATACAAAATATTATAAAAATATGCAATTGTATATTTAGTATGTGCTTTAATTGATTCGAAAAATTGTTAACTTAAATTATAAAGTTTTAATAAAATATATAAACAACAACGAAGGCGACGTAGTTTTGGGTGCATTTCATTAGTGCGAAAAGAAGAAAAAACAAGAAGCGGAAAAAGTGTGACAAAACCAAAAAAAAAAAAAAAAAAAGTCAGCAAAACTTGCAGTATAATAATAACACACAAAGTAATAACACGGAGCCACAAACACAGAGAGAGACACACGCACACCAACACGACAGAAGTACACAATAGGCAGCAAAGAGGAGGCAGGTGGCAGCTCAGTCAACAATTGTGCCACACATACAAAAAATAAATAAAAATTAAAAAGTAACCGCAAAGAATCATAAACATAATGAATCGTAGCGACGGCTTGGTTAGGCGCGCTGTCAAGCCACGCGAGAATGGAGCCGAAGGCGGTGGAGCTGGTTTGAATGCGAACACACCGGACGACAATCAGGACACGCACGACAGCAACAAGGATCAGGAGGATAACATCGATGATGGCGACTCCAAGGAGACACGTCTTACGCTTATGGAGGAGGTGCTGCTGCTTGGCCTTAAGGATAAAGAGGTGCGTTATTGTCGTTTACCTGCAGTCTGATAAGACGTCTTATCAGCTGCGTGTGTATCAAATTTTGTTTATCTTTGGTAAATAGTATTTCATTTCACCAATATACATTTATATAGAATCGCATTTTTAGTTTGCACTTAGTGACGACAGCAAAGTTTTCAAAACTACTTAATTGGCAGCTTCCGTTATTGTTTTCTGTTTTGGCTATTTCTCACTCTTCTTTCACTCATTCGCCAATCGAGCAGCTCATCATCAGTTAAGCTTAAACCATGCTATCGATGTTGTTGTAGGCTTAATTCAAGATGCATTAGTTTGTGTTGAAGTTGTGGGCAATAAGCTTCAAAGCTCAAGCTCCGTAACTCTGTTAACAGTATATGGATACAGAGGAAGACACCGAACGAGTTTAGCAGCGAAGCTATCAGAAGTATGCTTTGGCCTTCTTCGCTGTTCAGCTTATCGTAGATTCTGTGAAAGCTGTGTGATTTATCAAGTGGCATAATTGAAATTACACCCATACATCAAATGTCCAACTCTGGACGATCTTTTCAATTGCCTAAAAGCTTGAGGGCAACTGCGATCTCTAGAGCTTTTTGCCTTGCCGCATTTTGACTTCTGAGCCCCCATGGTCGAACTTCAACCGATGTGCTTACGCACAGTCTTAAACTTAAACAAGTTTCGTAAGTCTTTCACGCTCATATTCAGCTCGTAAGGTGCTCGCTTGCCATTTGCATAATAACGAAATGCTCATTAATCTCGCACATGCTTGGCAACAGCTGCTGATTCCAGYGGCTCTCTCATTGTATGTATGTATGTATATGGAGTATCCATACGTGCCCGTATAGGGCTTGCGAATGATACTCATTTTGCCTTTGCCCGTGCAATCGCATTGTGCTTTATTTGCTGCCCTGTTTTATCATCTCGTTCTATGAGCTTGTTTGCTATCGTGTGTGTGTGTGTGTGTGTGTATAGAGCTTGCTTCCAGACTCACCCACCACCCCCACACATGTCGTGGAATTTCGACGTGTCGTTCGCTTTCCACTTGTTCGCTTTGATCGTTTTGTTTCGCATTGGATTGGTTTCTTCTTCCATCTACTGCTTCTGGTGCTGCTGCTGCTGCTGCTGCCACAACTTTTCTTATCAGCAAATATTTTGTTCTTTTTTCATTTAGCTAATTATTTGAGGAAGTTACTGTAGTGCGTTCCTATTCTTATTTATGTACTCACTTATCGCAAATAACGTCGTTAACGAAATGGTTTTTATAACATTTCAATGGGAATGATAATGGGAAGTCGTTGTTGCAGCCCTCGCATATTTCGAACTGTGACTCACTAATGGATATTAGTTAAATATGTATATATTACATGTATATACATTATTCTTATGTACGATATATCAAATGTGGTTACATTTTACAATTTTCCGGCTCTTTAGTCACAATCGAAGGGCCGCGTTATACATTTCGTTTTAGCTTAAACAAATTCAACTGTTTAAACTTTAAACAGTTGGCAACGACAGCTGTAAAAGTCGGGAACATTTCACACCCGTAACAGACATGCCTAAATTCGACTCTAATATTTAGCTGGAATAAACAAAAAATAATAATAATAATAATCTCATAAACAATTATCGAACAAACATTTAACAGATATAAAGATATATATGTGTTCATTATAGAAGAACATATAAGAGATATTAATATTAATAAATTTATTATATTAGTTTTTATTAGTATATATCAATGATAATATTAATTAAGTGCTTATTTTATTAGAAATTGGCTATTTGGGTTAGGATTAGTTAATTGGATAGGATTAGTTAGGATTAGTTAATAGGATTAGTTAATTTAGCAATTTATTTGAAAGATATGAAATCCATTAAATAAAAGTCTACTATTATTCGAGCTCAAAATTATAAATTGTGTTTGTTTAATTTTATGTATTGGTGTGGTTTCCATAAAAAACAACGGTACAAAATTTGTTGATTGGCAAAGAAAATTAAACTCGAAACATGAGAGATAAAGAAGTTGTCAATTATGTTGGCGCAAAGATTATAATGTTAAGAAATCAAGTTTAAGCCCAAAAACTGTCAAGAGCCTGAAAATCGACAAATAATAAATTAAAAGGAGTGAAAAATGCATGAAAATTGATAAATTGCCTTAGTAAAAATGTTTGAACTTCAACTCTACAAAAAATTCATATTTAATATATTCTATTGGTTATTTATTGTAACAGGGTTACACATCTTTCTGGAATGACTGCATATCAAGCGGCTTGCGTGGTTGCATTCTCATTGAGCTGGGCCTGCGTGGACGTGTTATGATCGAGAAGTCGGGCATGCGGCGTCGTGGCTTGTGTACAAGGTATCAACATAAATCTGATCAGATCCATCATGATCGACACTAATATGTGATTTGTGATTGTGTGCAGAAAGCTAATACTGAAATCGGATCAACAAACTGGCGATGTTTTGTTGGATGAGGCACTGAAACACATTAAGGAAACAGATCCACCAGAGACGGTGCAGAGTTGGATCGAATATCTAAGCGGTAAGTGTTTCACTTGGAACGTGAAAAAAATTGTTTGCTTAAATTTCAACGCTGCAGGTGAAACTTGGAATCCACTGAAATTGCGTTACCAGCTAAAAAATGTTCGCGAGCGTCTGGCCAAGAACCTCGTCGAAAAGGGTGTGCTCACAACGGAAAAGCAAAACTTTCTGCTCTTTGACATGACGACTCATCCGCTCAGTGATAATGTGGTTAAGTGCCGTCTGGTCAAGAAGGTAAGTTGAGCCGCATATGAAATAGTTTTGTCCATTTCTGAAATAATCTTGAAATTTGTATTACAGATACAAGACTCGGTACTTTCCAAGTGGGTGAACGATGCGCAACGCATGGATAAGCGGATGCTGGCACTTATCTTCCTGGCGCACGCCAGTGACGTCATCGAGAATGCATTTGCGCCGCTCAACGACGATGACTACGAGGTGGCCATGAAGCGAGTGCGCGAACTGCTGGACCTCGACTTTGAAGCGGAGGCGGCCAAACCGAATGCAAACGAAATACTTTGGGCTGTGTTTATGGCGTTTACGAAATAGGGCGATTTCCTAACTCCACAACCCCTCCCTAAACCTGGCACCACAGCAGTCAGCAGCAGTACACACACAAACAAATACACAGTCACACACATATATACACTCTCACACACAGCTACACTCCCAAGATTTTCATTTTTGGCTGCTTGTTTTCCCACTGAATCGGGTGATTCCAAATGCGCCCGAGCTTCGGATTTCCTTCAGTTAATTTAAAAAAAAAAAAAAAAAATAGTACGAGAGACAGTGCGCTGGGTTATAGAAACAGATATGTATATATATTATTTTCTATATTCCGCCCTCAAAATATCCAATGAAAAATCTTTCGTTTTATTTCGTTTATTTTTTGATTATTATTTCATTTCGCAATTTAATTTATATGAACGAAATGCTAGCTATTAGTTGAATTTTACTAACAATTATATGCCGTATTATTCCATAAATTGTGTTCTATGTAATTTGCAACAATTTCGGCATGCGAATAAACAATATATCAAATTTTCATCAGAAGAGGAGTCGTCATTGCTTAAACATAATACAAATAATTAAGTTGTAAACTGCAAGTTTAAATGATATATTCAATATTTTGAGCTGCGACCGGTTTTTTATGTAATTATATAAACTTAACGTTAATTGTAAGAACTAATTCTGATGCAAGCGCATTAGCATGTTTAGAAATCTGTCATCTGTGTGCCCTGAATGTTTGCCTATGCTAGGATTCAATTTAAATTTATATAAATTCTCTACTTGTAATTTGGAAAACAAATTGAAAAGAAATGTACACAGAGTGACGGACCGTATGAGGGATTGCATCTTAGGCAATGTTTATTTAATTGTTATGAATTTCGGGAACATTGAAATCGAAAACTTTTCTAAACATACAAAACGAATGAAAAACAATCTAAAATTTATGTAAATGTAAAATGTGCACGTCAAATAATAAAAAATCTAGATATTTAAAGGCCTAATAAATATAATAAAATATA